AAAAAAAAAAAAAAAAAAAAAAAAAAAACCGTCACGCATGTGAAATTTTGAGGTCCATACAACACTCCTACGCGATTTATGCGATAACATAAAAAAAAACCGAATTAAAATAACTGCCTGACATTGTAATTTCTTATATTAAAAATCGTCAAGCTCGTACAGTAGCTTATTTTTTTGACCATCTTATTACGTCACGAACTGTCAATTCTCTCGTAAACACACGTACGACGACGTATTCGCTATGTAAAACTTAGACGACTACGTTAACATTAATTATGAAATTCGATATAAATCAATTTCACGTCTATTAACCTATCTCGAAATTTTTTTTACCAAAAAATAAACTGAACGAAAAGGATAAGAGGCTTGAAAAAAAAAAAAAAAAAAAAAAAAAAAAAAAAAAAAAAAAAAAAAAAAAAAAAAAAAAAAAAAAAAATCATGCATGTATCAAGAACTTTCTGCGGTCACATCTCCAGATGGATATCGTCGAAGCATTTTGTGAACGATTCAATTGATATTCAGCATACGAGCGATTGTCCTTCCTATTGGCCGTCGACGAATACATACGCGATGATTCTTATTAAAGATCGACTGATGCTGGTTAAGCAAGTATTTACGATCACGAGGTTCGTATCCAATTGTTATTTCTTTCACGTAATCAATAAACACACTCCATTCAGATAATCACCCGAGCATAGAATTCTTTTGGTTTTTGACAACGACAATATATCACACTGAATAACCGATACGAGTAAACCCACTGGGTTGATGGAAGAAATAAAAATTTTTCTTCATAATTGCATCACCCTGTCACGTGGTCCCAGACAACAAAGACAATTTCCTTGGCAGATATTGTTATTCGCTAGACATTTACAAGCCAAAATTAATTACAGACTAAATGTCAGTCCGCATAAGAATTTACGAGTTTACGACCAAAAGGAACTTTTGTTTTACCAATGCTAATTAATTTTTTACATCTCTCATAAATACTGCAGTCTACGATTTTCGAGCAGGAGGAAAAACAAGTGGAAGCTTACGGAACTCACAGTTGACATTCTGTATATATGTAACTGGATAAGAGACTGAAGGAGTCAAAGTAACAGTGCTCGGCAATAAAGCACTAAGGAGTCGTGCAAGTAGAGTCACGGCCCGACGGCTCCGCGATTTCAAGACTTGACAGAGTATAGCAGCAACAGCCCCGGTGGTGTGGTGGTCATTGTCCGGTGAAAGGCCGTCGCGTTATACCTCTCAGCGCGTGTATCGTTATAGAAGTCAGGCGCTCGAGGAGTCAGAGTCTCGAAAACGTAACGACCAGCCGCCGCAGCCAACCGACTGCCGATAATCAAATCTGCTTACATAAGAAAACCGCTGTTGCCGGCTTGACGCAACACCCGACCAGCCGTAAAGCTGGTGAACGCGGCAAAGGACTATAGCAACAGCCCCGGAGTCCATAGTTCTCGTGCATTGTTCTCGTAGCCACTTAATCCTCATTGCTTCTACGATTCATTAACGTCGAATGCCAGATAACAGTGTCGTTTTCATAAGAACCAGGAAGGTGTCCACCATTTCTTTTTCCTTTAATATCAAGTCGTATGAATTATTGATACTTTTTATGGCACACCGGTCGTTAAATAAGTCACCTGACTATGGAAAAAAAAAAAAAAAAAAAAAAAAAAAAAAAAAAAAAAAAAAAA